ACTTCAGAGTTGGAGTTGAGAAATATCAAATATGAATCGCATGCCTGTGCGGTGACGTGTGCACTTCTCGTACAACAACTACATTGAAGCAGGGAGACTGGATTCTCGGCTTACACCCAAGTCAATAACAAAGTCGTGCCAAAGCCCTGCAGTGTATATTCCGGCAGTGCTGAGAATCGGACAGGTCTCGACATTCTTCCTCAGTGCTCCAACCGCATCCTTGTCATCGGACTCTGTGAACCACACCTGCCATGGATCGCAGCAGGGCATTGAGACTGGGCGAAGAACAACAAACTACAGTGCAAGGGCGGAAACGGTATAAGTATAAGATAGTAAAATAGTATTATTTGTATTCAAAATACTAATAACACTACTCTCGTTGACAGTACCATCATATTGCGTCTTACCATATTGGAGTATGTTGGAATATGCTATATATTATTCCATTTTCTTAGATTCGACTCCAGTTTGTTGAGTACTCGGGGCTTCCTTGCTTCTCCGCCTTCCACCTCAACCCTAAACCCTAAACACCCTAACACCCTAAATCCCTAAACTCCCAAACCCTCTGAACCCCTACACTCCCAAACCCCGAAACCACTGAACCCCCAAAGCACTAAACCCCGAAGCCCCTAAACCCTAAACCCTCCTCCTAGCCCCTAAACGCCAACATCCCCCAAACCTCTCATTCCCCTACACATTAAACCCTTTATAGGAACCCTTATAGATCCCTTTAAAGGTACCCCTAGTCCGCAAAACCGCCTCAATACGGAGCACACCGGCGGCCCGAGGTCCCGAGAGCTTGTCCACGAGCCGAACTCCTGGAAAACTCGCTGCCAAAGACTGGCAGATTAGGACCTGATAGAATATGTCATATAAGCTACTCTAACAGAGTACACTCTGGTTTAACATAACATAACACTGTAAAATCTGCAGTATGGAAAATAATCTCATATGACCTCGCATCACGTACTGTACGTTAAACTACCAACTATACTGTCCTGTGCTATACTCCACTATACCCTGCTGTGCGATAGCATAACATAGCAGAGCACACTATAATATATCATAATTTTGTACGATCTACCATAATTTGTTTTTATTTCCTCATGGTGTAGGCTTTACAGTGCTGAGAATACAATCCGCCGAGGCCACAGGCCCAAGCGTACTAATCCTCCTCCCTGCAGCTTTTGGCGCTCAATTCCCGCGCTCCCTGGACCCACCTACTTCTTACTTCCTTTCACCCCCCCTTTCCCTAGCGCGTTCTGCCCCTCCCACCCCTCCCGCGCCCTGTCCCTCCTCTCCCCTGCCCGCCTCGGCTTGACATGGCCAAACAATCCCCCTCGCCCGCATCTCGCCTCCCGTCCCACCTCCCCTCCCACCTTCTGCATTCGCTCTGATCTTCACATTACAGAAGCAAGTCGATGAGTTCTGTCACAGTACTGGTCTCCGACAAACCGAGACAGGCGGCGTAGCGTTCAAGTTAATTACCATTACGATCTTCTGACAAGAGGTGGGTGTGCATGTAAGAAAGCCTGGTGCAACTGTCCAGTGTTCATTAGCTGAGTCGGCGTAGAAGTAGAAGCCAGCTTCGTCCTGTGATCATATTTGGCGGCTCGATTGTTGCCCCGATGATGCCGAGCACCAAGTTATTCCAATACCTGGCCCATGCAAAGCCATGTAGTAGAGGTGCGCTGGAGCTCTGGCCATCGAGCATCCAATCCCCAGGCCGAAATCCCGTGCAAGGCCCGCCTTCCAGGCACAACCCTACAGCCTATAAAATCACACCCCTTGAAGCCAGCAGCCTATGAGAAGTCAGGAAGGGGCACTCGTCGATCTGACCAGGACCAGCTCCAGGCTTCAGTTGGAACTGGCAGCAGGGAATTTTCCACTCTGCGCTGGTATAGAACCAGAATTCGAACTCGACAAGCCTGAAAGTGGCCGCCTTTGGCATTCATTGGGTCTTCCCACTCAGGACCTCAGCAGCTCACACAGCTCTCGTATCTGAGCGGACGAATAGTGTTTCGCAAACATGGATACCTTTGAATTCGGGCCCGTGCGGATGCTGTCCCTGAAAATCATGAGCGCATCGATCACGTGCAGTCCGTCATGCTGCTCTCGCACCTGCCGCGGTCAGGCTTAGGTCTGTTGTGGATCTGTGTAGTTGAAAGCTAAGTACTGGCTATGACGGCTATGATACCCAGTATCTAAAAACCATTGCAACGTATTTTTGGGGTTGAAGTTTTTTTATTGCTGAGTATCTTTGGCGCAGCTTGGTTTTGGTTGCTGTTCCGGCTCTGGCCGTGGTCTTGGCCAGAAATATTCTCACCCTTTGGGGCTTCTTTGGAATTCTGTCGTTCCGAACACGAGTCCACCGAGAGCATCCGTCCCGGATGAGACGACCGTGTACTTCAATAGTGCATCCTCTCATGACCACAGTATTAACATGCATGGGGATCGCGATGGCGTCTCGTTGCTGCTGTCACTGGGCTAAGAGCATCGAAATTTACAACGACTTCGAGGGCTCGGCCACCCTGTCGAAATGACGCTGCATGCCGGTGCCAGTGTTGGGTGGGACGGGGAAGGATGAGGGCGATAAATGTCAATGCTGCCAGAAACTCGGCGAGGATGTTGGCAACTATATCGAATAGAAAACTGATGGTAACGATGATGATGGTCATGGTGATGCTCATGCTGATCAATGTGATGATGATGATGATGATGATGTTGGCCCTGATGGCCCGTTTCTTTCTGTTTGTTGCTGTTTCCAGCTTCTTGTTTTGGCTTGCCTCCATCTGGCATTCTTTGGTTTGTGCTTGCCTTTGTTGCATATCACTGCTGTTTCGTTCTAGTCTGTGGTGCTCGCATAACCAACATGCGTGAAATAAACTGTCTAATGAACAAGCACACATGAAATTTCGCCGATCTCTAAAGCCTTGTACACTGTCCAGCTGTTGGATCGAACAAATGCGTGGTAGTATCTGACGAGGTGCACTGATGCAACTCAGCCCGACGTTGGGGTCATCCATCCCTCATCACCGGATACCGTGTCTGCTGACACTTAGAGGTTCAATTTCCGGCCAGCTCAATCAAGCAACCTCCGTGGACCTGACCTAATTATTGAAAGTACGAGAATAAGTCGAGCACACTGCGTCCCCGAGTGAAGGAACCCGGCTTCCGGATGCTTCGATTACAGCTGCTTGGAGGCAATGGACGCGCTGAACACATCCGGTGAGTCGCTGCATGAATCATTTCCGGGTGCCAGATCGAATTTGCGAACAGACTTTAGACACTTGAAGGCGATCTTGCGCTAATGTTACGAGGCTTTGGACATGGTCGAAAATCAAAGCCAAATAGAAAATTTCTGGAAAGGGCGTGATGCAAAGGTGCATGGCATGCTACGTCTTCTCGAATGCCCCAACCCCAAGGTGATACCCGGCACCTTTCGACCATGTCGAAAAATGCCGTACACTTGTCAAGCCCGAAGACTCGCGGGGGAGGCAATCCGCTTGGATTCGAGCAGTGTACTGGGCTGCGGCACGTGGTTCCACAGCCTTCAGAAGCGTGAGGGGAGACTTGGGCATGAGACTAGTATTGTTAAACATTCCGCCCGGAGTGTCAACATTGCAAGTATTGCTGCCACCACTCTTGCACGGGCGACGACAATGACTAGCCTGTGGCTACATCCCGACATCGCGTCTGGTCAGTTCTCATCCGACCTCCAGAAATCCTGGACTGTGCCGAAGCTTGCCACCTCCCGCTGTGACGCTGTGGGCGGGTTGCAGGCTTAGGTCAAGCAAAAGCTTTCGGATTCCGTACTCGGAGATTTGGACAAGCTCTACAGGATGATTTGCTGTCGTCTTCGGTTTACCCACTTGCAGAAACAAGCTGATTTACATGCGAGGTCTTCGAGGGCTGAAGTTTTGCAGTTTGCCTTGAGTGTTCTTGGGGCTTACAACGCAGTGTGCTCTGGACACTGTCTCTGCACCAGGTAGAAGACTTCATTCCTAAATTGGTAGAAGGACGATGATTGCCATGAAGCTTCATAAAGGATCCTGAGTCTGACTTCCTTCGTCCATTGCCGAGAGCAGTTGTGCAGGCCCAAAGGATTGAGAAGCGGAAGCTGGCATAAGAGATGTCAAAAGACACACCAACATTCCAAAACTTCCAAATGTTGCAGAGTTTCCTTTGTTGCAAAGACAGTTCCGGTGGCCGCGCCTTCTGCGTCCTCTGTGAATAGTTTGCATCAACCTTGCCATCCGAGGTTACCTGCTCCCACACACTCCACCTCAGCAGTCAGCACAACATGCTTCCATGATACCAGTGGCTAGTGTGGGTAGATCCGATCGCGCAAGGCATTGCCAGGAGCTCTCACACACATGATGATGGCTTCGCGGCCCATCAGAGTGTAAGCGCGCGGCGTGTACTGAAGAGGCAAGTCCTGCAGGCTGAGTGCTGCTCAGAGACAGCAAAACCCTACGGCTGGGCGAGTGAATACCAAAACGAAACAACCGCAATGTCCGTTGGAGGCTCCCTCCTCAGGACTTTCGGCTGGAGGGTTGGTACTATTAACGAAAACAATTCAGTAGCGAGAATTTGGCAATGCATGGCTGCATCACTGCGGCCAGTCGTGAGCACAATTCTAAAGCTACTTGACAGGATGCCACGAAAGGCGGGGGGAAGGAAGGAAGTGCAAAAAGAGAAGTTCTGCTGAAGCTACAATTCCGGTGGTGCGTCACCGCCAGCGATGCAAGCTATCCACCCTGCAAGCCGTATACCACGGTGCATTGTTTGCTGTAACTGCGACACCTAATTTGGCTGGGCCTGGGAAGCAAACCAGCATTAGGTGGTCTGTCTGGATTAACCGAGCTGAGCATTCAGACGGCCTGGGGTCCCACTCAGGCTTTTGGAAAACTGATCGAATCCTGGCCCGCAGCCTCAACTGCATACTTACATGTTCAAGCGGCGCTGGCGCGTGAGCTTGCAACTCCAGCGCTGCATTCTAGCGACGGCACTATCTGCATCAGCCTGGTTGGCTCATTGCCAATGACCACGGGAAGATCAAAGCCACAGCTTCAGTGAACACTTCCATGCGCTCCTTCTTGAGCATTTCCATCGTCTCTGATTCATCCTGGCACGTTCGCATCGACTTTGACAACAAGTTCAATCTGCACTGCGCAGGGGGACTTACAGGTCCCTGGGACACAAGGTGCTAAATTCCAGATCTGCAATGCACTGCGCTGTGAGATACTGAGGGTGTAATCAAAGCCCACGGAAACCCGACGCTGACCCGAGTCCCACGGATCGACCCTCCCACGCTTGAGCCTCCTGAACGAACTGAAGCTTGTCATTGATGCCCTCGTTGAAGCTCAAAAACCTCATGCAGGGCAAGGACAGCAAGTTAACCTGCTGAAGCCTTGAACAGGTCCAGATCCGAGTATGGGTCTATGGGTTTCACCGGTAGATGATTGTGCAATTTTACGTCAGCATGCTGTCTCTTAGCATGACAACGGGAATCTAAACTGTTTTTTTGTTTCTGGGTCGCAAAAGTTCACCCCTGAGCCGCGGACATCTTCTCCATGAGTACCTGGCGAGCCGCAAACACGTTTGCGGCTTAGACTGAAAGGGGTGGCAAAGTCAGGTTTTAACTACTGTCAAGAGCACAAAATAAACTTAGCAGCTACGCTGGCTTGCTCTGAATATTGAGTCACCGGAGACTTCGGCTGTCGCGAAGCTGTTACCGTGTTAGGACTATGATACACAGGCTTGCATATCGCGTACATACCGCGTGTGTGTTTGTGTGTGTGTGTGTGACCCGGTAACATTTGATGCGTAACCAACCTATACCAAAGCATGCTGAAAAAGAACTCTGGAAAATGCAACTCGCGTGATTATACGCATAGCCTACTAGTTCCTTGTTGCTTATACACATTTGATCCCAGAAATGCAGACGGTTTCGCTATGGTTGCCATGCTGCACTGAAGCATAGATTACTTCTTAGGCTTCCTTGCTGTTTTATGGCAAAGAAAATTCTAGTACTCCTTATAGACCCTTGTACAAGCATGTTTCAAAGGAACCCTATCCAATCATTCCGGCCCCTACAGAAGTCAGGTCTGGAAGTTCTGGGCAACCGGCCTCGTCCCGAAGCGCTCGGTCGAATCCCTCATACTCAGGTCTATGGCTTCGAGCCAGAATCGGACGAATTGGGGTGGGGGATTAAGGTTTAGGGAGCGATGGGACATGCGCAATTGGGGTAGTATGTCTAAGTTCGGGATCTAAATGATAGCTGCTTTCAACATGGAAACCACAGTTGATGGTGAGTGATGCCATAAGAAGAGATGGCTGTAGGAGTACATGGCTAAGAGCTTCATATCGAAACTGTTCTAGCTGGAAGGCCCAGGTCCGTCGGGTTAAATGCTGCAATACCTGCCTTAAAAATCTTGCGACGACAGCTTTTCTCCAGAGTCATAGACATGCCTGAGGAACGATGCCAGCAGCTTGGGGCAATAATTCCGTGGATCGCCAGTAGAGTCCTCAAGGAAAAGAGCCCGGGCTCTCTAGAAAAGCAGAATGCCATGGTCTTTGATTCTCCACCTCATTGATTCTGGTCGTGAGAATCTTGCATCTGAGTGTCATCTGAGATGAACGCACAATGGCCTCCAAACTCCGGAAAATACCTCAAGTGCAAATCAGAGTGACGGAGCTTGGTCATCAAACTACGGCTGTATCGCAAAGTTGTGTGTCATCTGCCGCGACACAGCAGCACTGCCTCCGACACCTGCTCGGAAGTTGGCAAACTCCTAAGTCTGACACTCTGAGATCTAAAAGCAGCTGTACAACAGCCGCGCCAGGTCTAAGACATGGAACTGCCATGTTTGGAAGAGGCCGCAAAGGGTGCAAATGCTTTCTTTGCCTGCGTGTCTGCTTCGAATTGCTCTCCTAGGGTCCTCGTGGGGAGTGCAGGATCTCCATGAGATGTGATTGGGGAGTACGTGGCAGATGGACTGATTGCTGGGGCAAGCATTGTAATTCTCAATTGCAGTAAAAGCCCCAAAGATCTGAAAAGCCAAAAGCTCGTTGGGTCGACCAGTGGGTCGTCCTTTGCATTCATCGCCAGGAGAGGTACTTGGACATGCTTCCTGAGCCCCAAAAATGTGCACATTATTCTGCGCGGTCGATGTGGCCGTCTGCCCTGCGGGGATCCGCGTTAGTTTAGGAACCTGCATGCAGTGATCTTGCGGCAAGTAACTCCTAATTACCGACTGAGAATGACCATACGGATCAGCTTGAGGGATGCTTGGATTTGGGGCTTCCGATCTTGATGGGGACATTCGCCGGCACAACATAGCCCCATCCAACTCTCTGCCCTTGCAAGCCAGGCCGCAGAAAGCGCATGGATCCCTGAGTCCGGTAATAGTCCAGCTTGTCCTTGAAGCCATACCTTAAGCCAAGTCTTGGACAACATCCGACATCTACAAGACGGAGCTACGAAATGTGCGGAGCTTCGGCTTTGGAACTTGAAAGATGCCGCGAGAGTTCAGAGTAAAGTTTTCAACTGCGACGCAGTTCGCTTCATCGGGCTCTGAGATGGACGTCAAACGGTAAATGCTTGCTGCCATGGGTAAGCATCACAGAGTACAGTACAGGCCTGCGTCGTGATTTGGTACTGAAACTGTTTCTCAGAACTGCTGAGAAATGCTTTCAGCTAGAGACTGGCCAACTTGATCGCAGCCCACAGGACGTCGCAGCAGCAATGCAACGAAATGCATGATGGTAACAGGTAACGGTGAGAATCCCAACGACATATGGATTATGACCAGGCATATGACTGTCATCACGACAATCATCGCCTTCCGGTACTCGCAATCCGTAGTCACAAGCAGAATCACACAAACCGTACATAGCTACTACGTCGTACAAATATGTGGGCCTCGATGCTTGGAGTGGGTTTTGGGGTGCATGTTTCGGCCCTGCCACAAGGGGGCCACACACGCGTCATCGAAGTCACCAATGGTCTCTGCCTGCAGTGTCTTCTCCAAGTCGTAGGGTACCGGCTCTCCTGAACCAGGATTCAAGGTTTCTGTTAATTCGGGTTTGGGGTTTGGGGTTTTCATTCGGCGCACATGTAGACGTCGTGTGAAATTGAGTAGGAAATTCAGCTCGGGCCGACTGCATGCTTCTGATCGCAGCGAGTAGCAAACCCACAGCTGCGCATGATCACCTCATCTCAGTATCTGAACCAATCATGCCACAGGGAGAGAAATCTGAAAACAGAACTGTCTTTGAGCGCCTCTCGCTTTCAGCATCTCAGCTTTCGCTTGCGCTTTTGGCTTCAGCGACTTCCTTGCATTTGGCGCATACGCTTTCCCCACGTTTGTTGACGCTGCAATGCTCTACGGGATTTGTGCTGGAGAGCTCTAGGACTTGCAGAGGTTCAGAAGGTGCTCGCAGCATTGCACACTTCACTGATGTCAGCATGTCTATCTTTGTAATTTGACACTGCGGCTGTGACTGCTATAGTCGGCTTAGCAGCGGAAATACAGCCCTGCTTATTGCTAGTATTTGCTGTGTTTTGCAGTATCTGGTGCTTGTTAGACTTTGCCATAGCATCAAGGGTGCGGAATGCTCAAACGGGGCAGGATTCTTTTTACATTTGGCAAGTACCAAAGCGACAATGAGGCACAGTGTCTCGGACTTGGGATTCCCATGGAGCGGAAGATAAAGCAGGCTTGGACGACTTTCCAAGCGGCAAGGCACTTCAACAGATCAGAAGCCCTGTTCTTGAATCTGGCTAGCCGGTGTTTGCAAACGAGAAGGCCAGCCGCGCAGCATTTGTTGGGGAGATAGACACAGCGCTTAGGAACTCTGCCCTCATGCAGCCATGACTTTTGACGAGCTGTGCCCCTTTGCTACAACGACGACGACGATTGCTGTTTTGGTCTTGTTGTTGCTGTTGTTGTGTTTGTTGTCGTTGCTGCTGCTGCTGCTGCTGCTGCTATTATCATCAAATGTCCCTCTGGTCATCTCCGCCAATGTCATCAGCATCATCTGCGCAGGATAACATTGCCGGCGTCGCCATTGTCATCGTCCTCTTCCTCCTCCTCCTCCTCCTTCTCAACTCCCACCATCATAATCTGTATCATCACCCTCAGCATCACCATCGCCATCAACACCAGCAACAACAGTCCTCGCCCTCAACGCCGTCACCACCACCATCATCATCATCGTCATCTTCATCATCATCATCATCATCATCATCGTGAACAACATCATCCGCAGCACAACCATCCATCATCACCAGCAGCAGCAGCTACATCATCGCCATCGCGGTCGTCTTAGTCACTCTCTTTTCAGCATCCTCGTCATCATCTGCATCGGCCATTGGATCGGGATTCCGGGTTGGACTTGCAGAGGACAGCTTTCCGGAGGTATCTGCAACCGAGAGGCAGGAAGTTCCATGCATAGAGGCGTCCTTGGCGGCCGACCCCCAACAAATCCCCATAGAAGTGTCATGAAGTGTCCACGGTGTCGGGACGCCTGCGACGCTAAAGCTGCACCCAAGCTGCACCCCTGATGCGATGTCGGGTCCCTCAGAGAAGCCTCTGACCTCGAACCTGCAGCTGCACGCCTGAACTTGATCCCATCGCTTTCGCCTATCGACAGGTTTGACGGATCCAAAATTACGCTTGCGTACATCTTGTTTCTCTGCTCGTCTGAAACGTGCCTGCAGCAAAGCTTCCCATGCCATCATCCATGGCAGCAGAACACACCTTCAAGGGTTCTACGATCTTCTGCAGAAAGCATCGGTGGAAGGTCTGCCAGGCTGCCTGTAAGTCGACGACTCGTACAGGTCAAGAGCTTCAGCCTTCAATTCCTGGACAATCCTCGCGAATCTTCTCAATACCGTGACACCAAAGAGGAAGAAGCAGATCCCCAGGTGTCCAAACATCATCCAGCAGCCGCAAACACAGAAGCCAAGTTGAGCTACTGCAGTATCTGCCTCTGGAAGGAAAGGTACGCTGCAAACGGCCGCGCCCTTGATACCCAACGAAGCCACGTCCTGGCTTCCAGAGAGATGGTTCAGGACCTTGATCGGTCTGAACATTAATTGACTTCACTGACATGCTCCCACTATGCATGTTGTGGTCACTGCGTGTCCTCCCCAAGCTCGCCAAGCAACTTGCAGATGGCGTTGCCTTTCGGAGGCGTTGCATCTCCGGGTGATACATCACAAAGCCAAGCTCCGAAGCAGGCTGCCTCCCAAAGAGAAGCCCGACAGGAAGATCTGCCGCGACGGGGAAGTGTGCAGCACCGTGCAGAGTTGCACTAGGTCGTCGGTAAAGCCTGTCCGACCCGCAGAGGCTTAGGGGGCACCAGGGCCGCTGACCTGTGACTTCAGTATGCTCTGAAGCCCCAAACGCAGCAACCCAACCGCTGATTCCTGGGGTTCCACGAGGACGAGCACCGCACCGGCTGCCCACACCGTCCTACGCGTTGTTAGCCCCCCCCCCCCCCCTTTCTCTCCGCCCTTTCAAACCACCCTCGCGTCCTAAGACTTCAAGGCATTTCTTGGAGTATGTCGCTGATGTGGACCATCACAGCAAGCGTATCAGTACTGCATCACCACAGTTTGAAGGTTGTACGGTTACACAAGCCACTCAAAAATAAATAGGCCCTGCCTACATTGTAGAAGCCGGCTGTCCGATTCATCTCCTGAGTGTCTGCGCTGCATTACATTGGCATGCAGGTGGCATTAAACAACTCAGTGATGCCGTGATCTCAATGTCATATAGGAGCCTTTATAATTAGAACAGGGTTTGGGGGCCCATTCCACTAGAACTATAATGAGGAACCCCCAAAATAGTATAGGTAATTGACTGCCCCTATACTAATGCGGTTGCTTGGAGCCTCTGTAGAACAGCAGTCAGCAGGCCCCGTCGGAGATCAAGGCTTCGAAAGACTGACTTGGGCTATGAAGCTGTAGACGACTTTTGGGATGCCAAGTGGCTCCAGAGCAAGATCGGAAGCAAAGCCTCGGGATGGGATTCCCAGATGTTTCTGGATCTCGGGGGAGGCTTTCAGGAGCTTCTGGATCGGCAAGTCAGGATGTCCAATCCGAGTATGCAGATTAGTATGTGAGGAAAATTTTCCCAGAAGGTGACACGCAATTCGACAGTCATTTGTCCGCACTTATCCGGCCATGCTTTTGATTGAGTCGCCCTCCCGAAATGATCTGAAGCTTGTGAGTATATGCTTGAGGTCAACAGCTGCGATGCTCCGGGTTGGAATTCATATCAGGAGGCTTCTAGTTTGAGGCTGGGTCTGAAGTTCGTCGAAAGAAAACGAAAACGGGAGCGACCGGCTGCGACCTGCCGGGAGGAGTGGAACATAGTGGAACCTTGGAGGGCTTCGCCAGGCCACACCGCCACGTCGAAGCCCTCGCTTTGGAAGGCGCGCGCCAAGCGGCAGCCTACTCGCGGAGGCTGGACTGAAAAGTCGGCTGTCGTGCGAGCAGACTATCAAATGCAGTGTTGCGACTTTGAGACTCTCCAACCACGGCCCGGAAACAAGTTTCACTATCAGCCACATGAGCTGCGATGCTGCGTTCGTGCGTTTTAGAGGTGGCAGTCTCAATTTCTTGACCGCCACAATCTACAATCCTGGCCATCGTTGCTACACTGATTGGCTGATGTCCTTACCAAACTTACCACCATCATCATTCCGTGTTTGCATAAGGCATGCAAGCTCAGGGATCTCATCGCTCAGTTACCCGCAAGCCAGGGCGCAGAATGGTGTGCGGGAGTTGCTTTCCAGTCCGTGTAGCAAGATCACCTAGTGCCATTTCAACGCATCGTCTCAGGGGTGATTCCTGTCTCTGTCTTGCCAGGATTGAACTCTGAACTCCGAAATGCCTCTCAAGTGCCTCAAGCAATCACAACGAAGTCGAAGTTGGCTTTCGGAAGGTTCCCGAGCTGTCGAAAGGTTCGGCGCTCTCGAAGATCATAGTTCCTGGTAAAGAAAGCCTCAGGCCTGACCCTCCGATGAAAAGCTTGTTGAAGCTTGAGAACTCCTGAGGATACAACGGATACAAGGAAAACCTCCGAATCCTTCATTTTAAGGATCATCATCAAGTAGCCACAGGTCGCTCCGACGTGATCGCACCCACGGCAGGACCGGCCGCAGCTGTGAAGTCGACGTCCTCGGGAGAGAGTGCTAAGCCGCTAAGCCGCCCCCCAGGCCCGTGGCACATGACCGGAAGGACCTATGAGGCTTCTTAACAGTTGAAACATGTTCTAGCACTTTGGGGATGTCAGCGTCTTGAACCGAGCTGACCTCTAGATGTGCCTCGCTGTGCCGCAAATTTGCATCAGCCCGTGCACATAGCCCAGAATGCATCATGTCGATGCTCAGGCACGAAAGACGGCCCTCGGCTTTGCAGCCTCGATCCCTTCGACCTGACATAATTTGCCCAGAGTCGAAAAAATCACCATCCGGAGTGTCGTAGCGCTCACCTTGACTTGCTGTTCAAAGCTGTTCAGAAGTGGAGCATACGGGTGCTGATGGGTGCATTGTGTCCACGTTTGCGACCCGCACCTTCACACTTTAGCGCGCGCGCAACTAGAACGGCGGAGTCTGCAATCTCACAACACCAGAACTTTGCAGTAGGCTTTTGCTTTTAGGCGCAGTTTGGGATCGAGAGTCGGATTGACCTGCTCTCCAGATCTGCACAGGCTGCCATGTTGCGGTGTGTGTCCAGCCCCTGCGGCAAAGCATCTGGCCTTTAGTGGCAACTCTGAAGCTTCATGCAGCTGCTTCACTCACGTGGCCGAAGGTTGCCCGGCCCTGTCCCTTGCTTGCCCGAGCCACTGCATGCTGCCACGCAGCCCGAACTTGAACAAGACCTCGGAGCCCATGATCGTCATGATGTGCTGATTGAGCGCGAACGCCGCTGGCCTGAAGAAAATCATTGTAGATTCAAATTTTTGCGAGATCAAGTGAGGAACACGACTGTGTGCATCATGCAAGGCGTCATGTTGCCTAGCGAAGAGCTATACGAGGTGGTAGCTACTCCGAGTAACAGCTAACATTCGAATGCAAGAAGGCCACTGGCCATCCGAGCTTTGAGCTCTGATTGCTCTGCAGCGGTATGCTTCGGAAGCGCATGGCGTTGATGTCTGGTGACCGATCGCCAAGGGAAGTACGACCACGCCCTCATTGTCCATAACTGGCAACCATTGCTGCACACTGCACTGGCCCCATCTATGAGTTTGGGAGAATGCAAGATGCGACATGTAGATCGGAAGCCTCATGAACACAGCACCATATTTCGAATAGTCGGCTGTTGTCACCAAGCTGCGAGAAGGGCTTCACCCGAAAGCTGCCTGGGACGCGCAAGCAAAAACTGCAAGTGTCCTTCATGCCGTAGAGACTGTCTCCCTTGCCTCCCTCACCTGCTAGCCGAAGCATCTGCGATCTTCGCAACTGGTTACTGATTCCGTCAGCGACCAACTAGCCCTTGAACGGTGGGAGATGTCGGCACATGCCGATGAAGCAAAGAACATGAGGGATTCCCTGACGTTTTAGGGCGCTGAGAACTGAGTTTTCGCCTGGCTTCAGAAAATTGTCGCTGTTCATCGGTCTGATGTTCGCTATGATAGACCACGGGAAGTGCCGAATGTACCCAGTATCAGGCGAGCCTCTCAGACCCCAAAGATGCTCGCAAGTGTCCATGCAAAGTACCATCTCGGTGACTACGGAAGAAGAACCGGCCAAGCAGCTGATGACGGATGCAGAGTTCTGCAGCATGCTCCGCACCCTGAGCGCGCTCCCCGCCTGCAAGTCCGAGACATCAGATCCACAAGCAGAAGACCAAAAGGACACCTGAAGTCCTGAAGTGTGCCTCTGTCTTTAATGTCTACCTGCGACGGTGTGGTGAGGCTTGGAGCACGAACTGAGCCAAAACCCACGTGCCTTTCCACGGCTGCGTAAAGCTGGCCTGGCAGGGCATGTGACGTTAGTCGTATGGGATTCGGGCTTGAGAAATTTCGGCTTAAATCTTCGCGGCTGTCTGCCTTAGATGCTTCGCATAACAGCTGGCATTCTGCAACCGAAACTGCGTCATACAGCCATCCTACGTGCATGCCGACGGACACATTGCAGGCTGAGAGCGGATCTCACCTCCCACCCTGGTCAGCACTCCATGTCCCTGTCCTTGAAAAACTTCTGACGGCGAACGTGCCGAGACCCAAGGCGAGAGAAAACCGAGCCTGGGAAGAAGTTGGAAGACAGCGCATTGCCACCACGTGAGCCGCGTGCTACCACTTCCGCTTTCAAGTGCCGTCACAAGCACCACCGCGTGTCTCAGAGCCTGGCTGGACCTCCAAAAACAAGAGCTCGCCAAGAGGCAGCTCGAGACATCGCGGGAAGCCGACTGACATCCGAACCAAGCAATTGCGGCCTGAGGACTCCGAGACTCTCTTGGGTATAGAGATTCGGCTTTGGGGCCTTTGGGGTCTTTGGGCTGGTTTAGACTGATGGGGGGCAAGCAATCTTTCGATGATTGTGGTCTGCTTTGTTATCGTGCCATTGCCCGCGTAACACCACTCCTGTGCCGTTGTGGTGTGGGCTTCTGCAGGTATAGGGTCAGATCAGTGTGCTATCATGCTTTCATGCGAGACCTTTATCGAAGCGACACTTTTCTTCTTGTGTCCTTATTGCATGATACTTCGGAATAGAGGTACGATAGCTTGACACCACTGTTCCTTCGTATATTTATCGCTTGCGAAGCTATCATCCCATCCCACTGCCACGAAGTTAGTTAGTGCTGCGTGGACGTTTGCCGGAAACACGGTAAGCTCTGCCATCACGTCATCAGGGAAGCATGTTGTCCTCCTCAAAAAAATGTTCCACACCGTCTCACTATCTCGCCCGAATAACTATGTTTGCTCTGCGGTGTTCGCCCATTCTGTTGTTGTGCTTGTGCTGGCCTCCGGGACATCTGCGGCGAGGTGCTGCGCTGCCAGCATTGACGAGGGGGCGGTGCGACGGAAAGCATGGCAAACGAGCTTCCGGGTGCTTCAGCAGTCAAGCTCGTCGGCTGGAAGGTAGGGAGAAAAAGCCCCCTGATGCCGTGTTGGCCAAGCTAATTAAGCACACCGCATGGATCCGGGTGTATTTCCGATGACAATGCCGGGTTGGCGGGTTCATGCGAGTTCGCAGGGCCCAAGAGCCTGGCCTAGAGGCAAATTCTAGGTGGCAGGCCAACCTGCACTAGAACAGCGAGTGGCAAGTGGCGGCGTGCAGAGCGACGGAACGAAATAAGCATCTGACGAACGCTGCTGCATGACGAAACGAATGCAAAGCTTGTCCAACACAGGCCTAGTTTGGCAAGACATGTGCGAAACGCATCATTCCATGACATGCGTTTATTGAAGTCGGCTGCGGTGGGTCCAAGGTGGTACGGTCAGCACTGTTAACAACACTGGTGTCTTTGGGATCCGGATCTGTCCAGCGCAGTAGTCCTTGGCGTCGCATTACTCCTTCAGTCTCCCCCAGCCCGGCTTTTCGAGTTCATTGCTGGTTGAGGGTGCAGTTTCAGTTTGTCAGAAGTCTCCGACTCAGAGTCTACCGGCCGTGCAAGCAACTTGCTCCTCTGCAGTTGAAGTTACAAATCCAGTTCCCGTTTCACTGCATGTTTTTACACTGCAGCAAAGCTTTGCAAACGAGTCTGCAGAGTGAAAGGTGGGAACCCCACCCCTACTGTTCCATTTGTAGGACTTGAACGACCAACAGCATCTGCTTGCACGGCCTGTCTTCCGACTGATCCGCACTTGTGCAAGTGTAGGGCATGTCGGACTACTCGTGTCCCGCAAACACAGCGATTTCCGCGCTGTGGTGAACAGACGAGCTAAAGCAGATGTTACGACCGATACGCTGCGAACCCTAGCCTGTGGACCGATTCTTGAGAACGTTTCGAAAGTCCCGGCAAGCGGGTATCAGCGTGGGTGAGAGCTGCTCTGTCTCAAACGCTTCCACTTGCAGGAAACTGCTCACTCAGCTCTACTCGGAGTCTCAGTGCTGAGAAAGATGGGTTCCTTTCCAAAGCCACGATGCGTGCTAGCACCCATACTTCCTAGTCGGTCCTAGTCACAAGTCATAGTCAAAACCTGTACACGACGGAACTTGGACGGTCACTGAGTTTCGCAGCAACAGTGAACAACATGAGCCTCCTAGTGTGAAGCCTCTGCAACACTCTGTGCCCTGCGCGTGGCTTTCTGCCAGTATGACTTAATGGCCACATGTGTCCAAGGAGTCTTCTGTTCCCTGCAAGCCAGGCCATCGGGTGTGCCATCATTTTCTGAACGGTATAGCTGCACAATCCTGCGATCTGAGCTTCGAATGTCGCAGTTTCTATGAGCCTTCTGGGACTCTGCTCGTCAGGAGATGATCTTCAGGGCATCTTGGCCTTTACTTAGGCTTAGAACATGTCAACCCGACAGTCGTCCACGAAAAAACCTGCCGCGTCACCCCTCACGCCCTCTTGCTGGGGCATGCTTCGAAGCTCATCGCCAATGAGTCGTGAATCGATCGACTGGCATGGTATCTGGCTCCACATCATTTTGCTTAACGAGAGCTGACAGCTTGGGGCTTTGGGTTCTGTGCTCTTCTTGCTTCCGATCGCGCCAGAAACCCGAAACATCGGTGCTGTACTCGGACCCTTCGGGGTTCTCAGGGAGCAACTTGGGCATCGAGTCGAAAGAACCCCCCAAAGGAGCATCTAGATATCGCTATGCATGTATTTCTTTCTTACTGGGGGACCAGAATCTTTCAGAATGCCCGCTTGGATTTGGTTGAGCGTCCCGCGTGCTAAGGATCCGCTCTTGGCTGGCTAGTTGCGGTGTGAGCAAGACAATTCTGCCACAGTTGAACAACAGTTGACCCGACTCTGTGTGGGTCTCTCTCAAAAATGAAACGAACAGAACTTACTCATGGCGCTGAGAACAAGCAAGTAAACATGTATCAACAAGGCACAAGCCTGTTCAAGCCCAGGTTCAACCCAATACCATGACGGTGCACATCTGCTTGACAGCTCATCTCTAGAATCCCGGAGCAGAGCTGATGCATTGTTGTATCTGCGTTTTTGTGACAAAGATTTCGTGCAATGGCATCTTCTTCATCATTTGCTATGCAACCACCCAAACTCCTATCATGCTTCGTAAGCTCTAGAAGCTTTCACCGGGCCCCTCAGCCAATCAGCAAAAAGCAAGAGGCATCCGCTTGCGATCAGTGCTTAGCGGCCGCCGATCCTGCACCAAGAGCAGCAGCAGGCTTTTGGGAGCTCTGGTGCTGACAAGCATGATCACTGGAGACTTCAGCTCCAAAACTTCTGGATGGCTTCATCTTGTGGCCAGATCGGGGGGGAATGCCGGGCTTAGCGTCTTTGACACCAGGTGACCCGGAAACATCCCCGCATGAGCGCCGTTGAATCTGCTTGTGCCCGTGC